TGCCAGACATGTTGTGAACCTATAAAATGTACTAAGTCGGAATTGATGTGGGATATTAAAAAATGCCTCTTGATACATAGTACATGGTATGTCAAAATTCAATGAATAAAAGTGGAGTTAATAAATGATTTATTTTGGGAAACTTTATCACTCACTATCTCAAAACATACAGAGTGGAAAATTAAAAAGGATCCACCTGGATTTGCTCGAAAATTATCAGGAAATTTAAAAAAACGCCGAAACACGTCGATTTTGTTTGCAAGGGGGACACTTTTTGGCTATTTAAAAATTTTGCACCTTCAAAATTTGAATAGGGAAACTGAGTCGAGTGGTACCTTGTTTGAGAGGTATTTGAGATGACTTTCTGTAACTTTTTTCGAAATCTGACTTCTAGTTCTCAAGATATTCGCCTCGGAAGTTGCCATGGGGCGAAAAGAGAACGTGTTTTTCGTGAAAAAATTAAAAGTGGGTCATGTTTGAAAAGTTGTTCAAAAGGTTCAAACTAACAAAGGAACAAAGGTTCAAAATAAACAAAATTGACGTGTTTCAGGAATTTAAATTTTTTCTTGTAGAAATGTACGAAAAACACGTTCTCTTTTCGCCCCATGGCAACTTCCGAGGCAAATATCTTGAAAACTAGTAGTCAGATTTCGAAATAAATTCCCTGTAAAGTCATCTCGAATACCTCTCAAACAAAGTACCACTCGACCCAGTTTCCCTATTCAAGTTTTGAGGATGCAACTCACCCCGGTAAGGGGGTGCAATTTTAAAAAAATAGCCAAAAAGCGTTCCCCTTGCAAACAAAATCGACTTATTTTGGCGTTTTTTTAATTTCCTGATAATTTTCGAGAAAATCCAGGTGGATCCTTTTAATTTTCCACCCTGTATATGAAGTTTTCTGCCTTTAAAAAAACTCATTTATTAAAAGAGTGGGTACGATAACACCTCAATCCTTTGTCATCTCATAATAACCATATTTTCGCAACTTTGACTTCATGCCACTATCACATTTCAATCTTTTCCGCTGTAATCAGTCAAGATTTTATTCAATTGTGTTGTGGAAAGCTTATCTACTGCTCTAGAATTATTCCTAGTTGGCGATGCCTTGATGCCTATTACTGTTACTGAATGATCATTTGGTTAAAATATTCTTGGAAAACATCACCAGTTATTTTTTGATGATAATTGTCAGTAGATTTTGATTGAAATATTAATGAGCATTGATCAAGAAATTCATTTTTACTTCCCATATGACTCATATGAGCTATAGTAAAGTCTGCGTCCCTTTTGAAACGGTTGACCAGGAAGGATTTCCTTGAAAAATTGCAGAAAAGTAAGAACTAATTTCGAAGGCATATTTTTGAGGATTAGAGGCAAAACATACTAAAAATTCAAATTAATTGAATGAAAAATTGCAAAGTTACAAGGTTTTTAAAAATGAACATTTTCTTCTATACAACATGTCTCCACATTTTGACCATTTTCTCAAAAACTACTTGAGGCGCAAATATGAGATTTCGTCCAGAGATGTCTCTATCTAGTCTATCTTGCTAGATATATTATGAGTATAGACCTGACTAGTAATAGTTAGGTCTATGGTATGAGTGTATGAGTATTGACTATGCCTTCAGCCAAGTTTCATCCAAATAATACATATTTTTGACTCCGGTCTTCACTGCTTTTTAAAGTATTGCCGTTTCCAGCAAATAATGTCTGGTCAAAAGATTAACTTATCCTAACGAAAGTTTATACCATGAAGAATAATTAATTGTCGATAGTTTAACAACATATCCTATAGGTAGGCATTTTTCCCTACCTGTGCTTAAATTAGGGGCGGATACAGGCCTTTCAAAAAGGGGGGGGGGTAGTTTAAGTTAAAGTAAGCCAGATTGGGTTAGTTTGGGTTAGTTTTGGCAGCGCATTGTGCAAAATAAAGTTTTTCGAAGGAATGGACCATAAAAATATGGAAATAGGAGAACTATTTAGGAGAATAAGGTGATTGATTGTATTTTATGATATCTAAACTCAGGGGGTTTACTTCATTAGGGTGAAATAAATAACGTTGTTGATGTTTTTTTAAAATTAAAATGATAAATGTTTGAAAAATTAGTATTAAATTAGGGTCAGTTTGAAATTCATTATCGGAAATGTGAAATTAGATTTCGTTTATGAGAAATTAGTTTTCGTTACTTTGAAATCAATTTTCATTTAAGCGAAATTAGATTTCACTGATGTGAATTTAGTTTTCATTAATTTGAAATCAAATTTCACTAGTGCGAAATAATGCTGGAAATGGTATAGTAATATACATGTGACAAGTTATTGAAGTACAAACGAATGGATTGTTGCGGAACTTATTGGTGGACCCAGCCATCAATTCACCAATATGCTGTTTAAGTACAATACTAACCTGATTCACTCAGTTGTGAATTTTTCTCGTTATCTCGTATATTGGTGAGTAGATGGCTGCGGAACTCGCTGCGCTCGTCCCGCAGAGGTCCACCTATAAGTTTCGCAACAATCCACTTATTTGTACTTGAACAATAACTTATTATATAAAGTTAGAATTTGTGAGATTATCCAGTTTTGGTCAATTGGCCTTTTAACAGAAATTAGTAATGTTACTTTACCAAACTAGTAATATATTGTGACAAGTTATTGAAGTACAAACGAATGGATTGTTGCGGAACTTATTGGTGGAACCAGCCATCAATTCACGAATATGTTGTTCAAGTACAATACTAACCTGATTCACTCAGTTATGAATTTTTCTCGTTAGTTCAAAAACTACACGTTTCAGGTGAGTGTCTTATTTGAACAGTGCAACAGTATATTGGTGAGTAGATGGCTGCGGAACTCGCTGCGCTCGTCCCGCAGAGGTCCACCCATGGGTTCCGTAATAATCCACTTATTTGTAAAGGGTGTTCTTTTATATATTGACACCCCACCTACAGCCTTTAGCTTCACAGGTAGTAGAAAGTTGTAAATACAAAAATTGTACAGTTTTGGCCGAATTTTTAGAAACCATGGTCAGAAACAAAATCTGAATGTCAGAAATGTGAAATTTTGCATGCTTCCAGCTTTTTTCGAATGGGATGCTCTATATTTCATTGTATATTCTTGAAGAGCACAATAATGCCCCGATCTATATTTGTTCGAGCAACCTCTCATATATTTGGCTTCAAAAATTGTAAAAATACTATCCTACTATTGATTTTGTGGACCATTCTACCTGTACAGATGAAAGCTGCAGGTAAAATTTAAGGTATTTGGTTTCTCTGATAGTATTTCTAAAATTTTTAGAACCAAATATGTTGCAGACGGCTCAACCAAATATAGACAAACTATATAGTTTGCAATATGCAATATTTCACATTTCCTTGCCCTCCCCCCTACCCCTGTATCCGTCACTGGCTCAAATTTGAAACATAACTTTATGGTGATAGGTAGGTACCATTTCAAAGGGCTAAAAAGGGTTTAATATTGATATTAGCTAGGTAGAGACATAATTCGATTCGTATTTCAAACAATGAGTAAAATTTTGTGCCCTTAATTACCAACTATAATAGAAGGAAATATTTATTATTGAAAAGGTGAGGCCCGTGCCTATACTTTTTTTTATCCTTGACACAAAATATGTAATTTTAAAAACGATTTCATTACCTGGTTAAAACTTTAATCAATGCTTCAACCTTTATGAGGCAACAAAATTTTACCTACGATCATAATTCATTAAGTAAAATAACTGGTTTTTAATGAGGTACCTATACCTAAAATAAGATATGGATTTTAGGTTTTTCCAAAAATCAGGTAATATTATACTAAATTCTGCGATGGTATAAAAAGCAAACACAAAAAAAACTCACCTAGTAGAATGTGAACGCAAATTCACTATCCATCATACAAAGACTTTCAAAATTTGAAAATTCCCGCGCCAACCAAAAACAATAACAAAAAAGTCGCGTAAATATACCCAACCACGTGACGCAACCCATACACCGACCTACTACGATAGACCAGCACCGACCGACTGAAATTATGGTGTTTTTTGACGTCACACGCCGCAAAACAAACGGAGACGAAACCCAAGGCCCGCCTACTACTCTACAGATGCGTACAAGTTGACTTATCGGGGTTGTTTAGAATGTGCCGTTGCATTGACTATTCCGATTAGTGCGATCACAGGGCAATTTTTGTTTCGGACCGACCGGAAATGTCAAACGGGGTGATAATGTCAATGTAAGCGGTTTACGGTTAATTAAACGGGCAAGAAAATCTCTTCTTGTTTCCCAAAGCTGATGATTATCTCGGTAATATAGTGTATCGAGTTTACATCAAGATAAAAGTTACTAAACCCAACAGCGGAGACTTAAATCTTGGGGTTTGATACAATTTCCGTTGTCTACATTATCTTTTTATACACTTTCCCTTGAGGGCGTTTTACAAGTGGCAATACTTTAGTATAGTTAGACGCTGCAACCTGCAGTCTCTCTGCAAGTCTCTCTCAGGAAAGTTTTCTGCACAGTCATGTGGAAGTAATTTTGTGCTATTGGAACAAGGGATACTTAATAAACAAGATACAGCCATTGAAATGACAGATGAATTACAGAAACGAAAAGCGACAGTAATGGAAATGGAGAGAGCAGCAAAAAATAAAAATACGGAAAAAAAAACGGAGGTTAGGACCTTCAAAAACATAAAATTACTATCGAGTGTCAAGGCAAGGTAAGGAAAAAAAAAATCGATTTTTACGGCAAATTTTGAGACTTTTTCGAGAATTCTTTTTGAAAAACATTTACGTGAATGTGAGGACAGTGAAGTTATTTGTGAAGTTGAGATGAAAAGTGAACTAAAAGTGACATAAAATGAGAAAGAGACGATTTTCATGATTCCAGAGACGGTTTCAGCGGTGGTACTCCAACAGGAACACGTAGGAACTCAAGTACTAGAAACGCAAATGATAAGAAATTGTTGATTTGAATGAGCTTTTTCGTAACATAATGATAGAAAACAAACGTAGAGATGAATTAATCGAAAGATTGGCAAATCAGATGATTACGAACAGTGGGGCAGCACCTGCACAGCCAGCTGATCATCCCATAGTCCCCGAACACTCACAAGGTCTTTGTGTGTTCCCAGAAATTTTGAGAAACATTGGGAATTTTGATGAAACCCATTCGAAGGCAGTTTTGTGGTTGGACACATTAAATTGTGCGCAAACCCTACACCAAATTCCAGACAGCTACATGCTGGAAATCACAAGAATGAGGTTAGTAGAAGGAGCTAAATATTGATATTTGACCAAGCGTAATGAGATTTTGACATAGAGAGATTTTTTAGACAAGTTCAATGCTACATTTTCGCCTAAAGAAAGCTTGGCAGTGAAATTTAAGAAAATGGAAAGCAGAGTTTAGGGCAAAAATGAAAGTTTAAATTCATATTTTCATGAGAAAGTAAAGTTATGTACGAATTTAGGCCTACAATAGATGAAATCAAAGAGCAAGTGCTTATTGGGATACATTCTCAATAAATGTGCGATGCATTGTGGACAAAAAGGCATTATGCCACAGATGCATTATTTCAAGACTTGCACAGGCTATGCAGACATTGAAAGTAAGCGTCAGCAGAGTTTTACTGGCATTCGTAGAGGCAAATTCGATAGAACTAACTTGAACAAGGAAAACATGAATAATGCTCGGAAAACAAGTGAGAAGCAGAACCAGGCACCACAGACATTGAGTAATGAGGCAGCTAAGACACCACGATAAACTGATAATACCAGAGTAGAGGATCAACAGCACTCTTCGGGATTCTTACCACCTAGCAATGCTCAAGACAAGCCCCTTTGCTTCAAATGCAGAAAATATGGGTACATCTTGAAATATTGCTCCCAGAATCAACCCTCAACCCCCCCTGAATGAGCACATCAGACGAACCAGCGAACCACAGCAATAGCGGTAAACTCACAAAATAGTGGTATAAAAGAGTATTTTGAGGAAGCAACTGTCCATGAGAACATCATAATATCTTGTGTGGTAGTCAATGCAATATGCTGAGATTATCAGATGCTGAAAACATAAAATTAAAGTATGACAAATTGACAAGTGACATGTGGATCAAAGGTTTTGGCGAAGGGAAAATTAAGCCTTTGGGCATAGAGAAATGTTGACATGCTACAACTGTCATTTACGTAGTATCAGATGATGTTTTAGATATGCCATTTTTGATTGGACAACCTGACACCTCAATTTTTTTTTAGATTTCCAGTCACAACTTATGTAGGCCCCCCCAAACAAATTTTCTGGGTGCGCCACTGCATAAACAGAAGACACTTTTCGACCTTATAGACTGAGTTTAGGTGAGAGACAGAAAGTTTGCGAAATGGTAGAGGAACTTAAAAGCGCAGATATCATTATTGACTTGAATTCAGACTACGCTAGCCCTATCAGGGATGCTATTTCTAGTACAATTATACTAGATCTAGCACAATCACGTTTCACCTAGTACGCTAGTACCTCTGTCATAAATCTAGTACAATTTGAATAACGAGTCGAGTGTCGCTTTTTGCTCTGTACCGTACCCAAGTTCTGAGCTCTACTCTCTACTTGTGGGTTGGGTTCCACGTTCCAGGTCCCACTCCGGGGCGGGTAAAGCCAAACAAGAAATTGGCGTTTCAAATATGGTTTCGAACGCACACGCACTTTTTTATTCTGTGATTCGACGTGTGTCATGTATTGGGGGTTATTCGGTTATTCAGCCAATAACGGTAATCGGTAGTCGATTTATAACTAAATATGTAGAAATTTATGTATTTCTTTCATTCAGGGCCGATTTCTTAATAGCGAGTCACCCCCGGGTTAAGTATAACTTTAGGGTAAACATTGCAACTAGACACGTATGGAAGAACTAAAAAGCTTTAAGAAACATTTAAAATTATATCATCCAAGTGAATTACTTTAGGCTGAAGATCTACACCTAATGCGTTGAAAAGTAACAGGCGCGTTGGTCAATCCAAAAGGCATCCTGAAAAATTGGACACAATGAGATCACGAGATTCCTTACTAAGTGGAATTTGGTAGAATGGTTTCAATCTTCAGGTAGTTTGGAGTTTCTAGCTTTATTGAAAGCTTTTCTTGTCGTCGCCCTGAGATGTTCCAGTTCCTGAAACTACCAAGCAGAGGTGTTACTAGAGTTTTGGAACATCCTCAGTGGCTGACTCAGGGATGCTATTTCTAGTACAATTGTACTAGATAGCAGAGCCTACATTTGTATTCAAATTTCAAAATTTGACGCGCTTTCAGCTAGTACACAATATCGTCAATCTAGTACAATTATTCCCTACTTTCTGGTACATTTTTTTTTAGTGCTGATAATAGCATCCCTACTATTGTGGTTACTATCAAATTCCGGTTGAAAAAGATTCACAGCGTAAAACTGCGTTTATGACGCCAGACGGTAAGTTTGAATTCACGCGCATGCCTTTTGGGGTTAGTAATGGACCAGCAGTGTTTCAAAAATTAATAAATAGTGTACTCAGACCTTTGCGTTATACTATAGCGATGGCATATACATATAGATGGATTTACCGGCAATATCGATTGTTGTGAAAGTTTTGAGGCGTGCGAACTTAAAGTTAAATTTAAGGAAATGTTTTTTTTTCTTTTCAAGTCTACTTGGGTTTTGAAATATGGTCAAACAGGATTAAACCGGGTAGATGAAAATTGAAGTGTGTTTTAGATTTTCCTGAACCTAGAAGTGTGACTAATTCTTGGGACTTTCCTCATATTTCCGTCGATTTATTACGCGATAAAGGCCAAACCTTTAATACATTTGCTTTCTGAAGATGTAGAATTCAAATGGGACGCAGAGCAGCAGCAAACATTCGACCAGTTTAAGAAAGAGCTAACCGAGACTGATGTTTTGGCATTATATAAACCCGGAGCGTACACAGAGGTACACACAGATGCCAGCTTAATTGGATTTGGCGGTATGATTTTTCAGAGACAGGCATCAGATGATCTGATGCACCTTGTAGTATATGTGAGTAGACAGACTACACGCGAAGAACAGGAAAATCACTCATCAGAATTGGAAACTTTGTGCTTAGTTTGGGTATTGGAGGGATTGAGAGTATACCTCATCGGCATAGAATTTGTATGTACTACAGATTGCAATGCATTGAGAAGTTCATTTACTAAAAAGCATTTAATTCCAAGAATAGGTCGTTGGTGGCTAAGAATGCAAGAGTATAGATTTGACGTAATACATAGACCTACGACAAGAATGGTGCATGTAGATGCGTTGTCACGCAATCCGATTGGCGAGACAGAAGAAACAGATTGCTCACATGGTTTACAAGTAATGATGAACACCCTTGAAGAAGATCATTGGTTATATTTATATCAGAAAGAAAAACCAAAAAGAATATTATGGGGGTATTAGCCAAAAAGTCGAAAATTACTAAAGAAGAGAAGAAAATAGGAAATGAGTATGGGATTAGAGATGGTCGATTATTTAAGAAATAAAATGAAGATTTATTATGGGTTGTACGTAGTAAAAATAGATGGAGGATCACGATGATTTAGGACATCCCGCTCTTCCAAAAACTTTGGATAAACTTAGAAAACTCTACTGGTGGCCAAGAATGAAGAATATGTTAAGAACTATATTGAAGCTTGCACAGATTGTTTATACAATAAAATACCTAGAAAACCTCCAGGCAAACTTCATTCTATAGACTAAGATTAGTCATATTTTAAATGCTACATCAACTCCGAGAGCAAACGGACAAATAGAACGAGTAAATAGATATTTGAGTCCAGTACTAGCAAGTATGTGTAGAAGTCGAGATGGTGAAAATTGGGATAAATATGTTGGTAGGATTCAGTATGGAATTAATAATACTTTGCACAGAGCTACAGAAAGAACACCTTTTGAGTTATTATTCAGCTTCAAACCATAGATGCTGATGTCATACAAAATGAGCTAGAGAATCAAGACTTTAGTGAGTCGAGACATAGAAGAACGAAGATAAGATGCATTAGAAAAGAATAGAAAAGATCAAGAGAAGCAGAGAGAGAGATTTATTAAAGGAAGAGCAAAAGAGTTAAACTACATTCCAGGAGATCTTTTCTTAGTTACATAACAATCAAATCCACCTACAGGCGAATCAAAGAAACTATTGGAGAAATATGTTATTGTAGAGAAATTACCGAATGACAGATATCGATTAGAAGACCTTCCTGAAACGCAACGTATTCAAAAGTTCTACAAAGGAGTAGTTGTTGATGCAATGAAAAAATTCAAACTATCCCTATGTGATGATTCCGAAGATGACTATGATGATGATGAACTAGAACAAGAAGAGTCTGAGAATCCTATAATGGTGAACTATGGTGACGATAAGACTAGAAGCCCGATTGCGACAATAAATCCAGAACATAGACAGGAACCCGATGAAGAGAAACAGCTAAGAAGAAAACCGAAATATTTGGACGATTATTGTACTATTTTCGAGGACAAAAAAGAGAAGGAAGGCCAAATGTTAGAACCTTCAAAAAAATAAAATTACTTTGGCCACGTAGCCTTTCTTTTTCATCAACCTTAATATTGTGCTATCCTCTCGAGTTGTCAGTGTTAGACGTTAGGTTAGACATTATTGTAATTATTCAACAGTCTGTCCACAGAATACATAATACATATCCTCACAGATAGAAGACAAACTAATGATGGATGGGATCCGAACTATTCAAAATATAGGTTTCTGTAATCATATCAACTTTTAATTTTAACATAAAATAAAAGAGACCTTACACGGAAATACACACTATATCGAACTAAAAGGAGAAGCCAAAAAGAATAAATAATTTAAAATCAATTTAATAAGAGAACACAACAAAAATAAACCTTTCAGGAATGAATGCGCATAACGAAGGAATCTACAGTTTCGTTAATCGCATATAATATCCTATACTTAGCCAAACACTTAATCCTCGGCAAAAGCAAATATAATGTCTAATCAGATTCAGTTTATACCTTCGCTAATGGGCTTTAACATATTATCGGTGCATCTAACGGGTTAGAGACCTCATTGAGCAATTTAATCGTTATTTTCGAGCCGGCGACGATTGGCACCTACAAAGATGGCCTCAATGTAAAATAGTAATTTCTTATAAAATAGACGCAACCGAACCCAAATCTTGAATAAGAGGAACAATAATGGTTCCATTGTTTACAAAATCACCTGGCGTGCGTTATTATTGGTAACAATCGATTGGGAGTGAACCAAAACGAT